TTTATTTATCATAATCACAAAATGATTATTCGAATGAATTATTTGAATGTGAACTTTTATCGCCATATTGAAAAATGATGTTTATCATATATAATTATTGTATCTACGCGAGAGATAAAATAAAGAACCAATTATTAATAAAGACGTAGATTAAAATCCAATTATTTTTCCGCACGCGAAAGTGATTACTTCTCGCTTTGCCTAGAGACAGTGCCACGGGAGGTTCATAGAATTAGTGCAGGTCGCACGAAAGTGCAGCGGCTTTCCGGTAACGAGTCAGAGAGAGAGAGAGAGAGAGCGTTAGCCCAGAAACAGTAGTGGTTAGCAGAAGGAGCACGAGAGTAGAACTCTGCTAGCGCGATAACTTCGTTAATGCACACATGTCGTGTCTAATGAGTTATAATCAGTCGAGCACCGGCTGAGTGTAGTTTAATGGTTTGTTCGCTCGCATTAGGCCCTACTATCACCCTCTCTCTCTCTCTCTCTCTCTCTCTCTCTCTCTCTCTCTCTCTCTCTCTCTCTCTCTCTCTCTCTCTCTTGCTCGCTCTCTCCCTCTCATCCACTTATCTCTCTCTTCTCTCTCTTTATCTTAAATTCGCATGAAAGCATACTACTTTCAAGCTTATATGTAGTATAACCTGCTCTCCGTTACTGAAATTCAATGAACGTGGGTCTCTCTCTCTCTCTCTCTTTCTCTCTCTCTCTCTCTCTCTCTGTTGAGTTTGTTCACATAACAAGCACGAAATATACGGTCGGATGTTGCATTGAATTTTTGAATTTTTTCAATAGGAAAAGACAGAGAGAAAGAGTACGTGACCAGAGTCTACACTATATACGTATACCTACCTCTCGTTATATTTAATAACGAAGTCCACTTTTAATAACGAACTTTACGTATACTACGTACAAGAGTATTAAAATGAACATGTCCGTTTTGCTGTAAAATGATAATAATATGAAAAGGAGTCCTCTCTCTTGCTCTCTTTCTCCTTCTCTCTTGCTCTCTTTCTCCCTCTCTCTCTCTCTCTTTCTCTCTTTTTCTCTCACCTTCTATATACGTAGATACAATATACTATGAAAATTAAAATCGGTTAGAAATCATTGATAAGAATACCGCGTGCATTTATTCATTCGTAACAGTTTTATTAATCGATTCGAGGGTGGAAAATGAACGTAACGGGTGCGAAAGTTATTCGTGTTTTTTATCAGCGATAAATGATACACATGAACGAACAACCAGTTAATTTAATTCGCCATCTATCCCCCCACTCTTTCATATGCAATTTTCTTTTTTCTATTTTATTCACGCACACACACACACACACACACACACACACGCATATATATATATACATCGATGATCGTTGAGTCGCAAAGTTTCAACGGACCCCGAACGAAATGATTTATATTTTAATCGATTAATCGCACGAAACTTTTTTTTTTTTTAATTAAATGACTTTTTTAAATAACTTTTATTTCAGCTAAACAAAATGCTCTAAAATTTTTAACTCTATATGAAGAAATTAGAAATGCGAGGAATTAAATGAAATATCGTTTGTTGTTATAATAATGATAATAAATGTGATGACAATGTTTTTAATTTTTTCTTACCTTTACTCTTTCTCTCTCTCTCTCTCTCTCTCTCTCTCTCTCTCAGTGGCTCTCCTTTTCTTTCTCCTTCGAGATTACAGCCCTCAGGCCGACCTAATTTCGCAACAAACAATCTCAATCTGACAGAAGTTCCTGAGACTCGTTACAACTGCTCTCGCCACATGTTTGCTTTGTCCAAGCTCGATAATTTAACGGGACGCTCTAATTAGATCTCGAGGTATTCCGTGATATTACGAATGAGAGAGAGAGAGAGAGAGAGAACAAGAGAAGGAAGGAAGGAAATGAAGGAGACAAAGAGAAAGGTACCATTTCCCCATATACATATTGTCTCACAGATTCTGAAATGTAAATTTTGGATTGTGACGTGATCACGTGTTGGACTACTAGATAACACACGTTACGAAACTAATAAGATGCACTCTCAGAATTTACTGCATTTTACTTACACAAACCATTGTCCTCGAACAATTAATTTCGCTCTTTCTCTCTCTCTTTCTCTCTCACATAAACACATATACACACACATACAAACATACAAACAGACACACATAGTGTGTCTCTCATTCACATACTCTCCATTTCTTTTACAAGTCAAAAAATTTTTCAGCTTAAACAAATCATTTCTCTGTTAAATAAATTATTAATATGGTCCTGTATATAATAACACGTTCCATGATAATGGATTACCGTAATTAGAGAGAAAGAGAGAGACAGAGAGAGAAGGAATTGTCAAGGACTCTGTAGATAGTAAAGGACAGAGGTTGGGATTGAGAAGGGGAGGGGTGGCATAGCATGTGCTACGGCAAATGACGCATCCACACAACCTGGAAGCATTTCTCTGCAACCTATATTAAGCCGTAATCTTGGAGAATATGATAGGCGACACACTGTCATTCCTTGCTAACGCTACTGCTCCTAAGTCTACTCATCCCTTCCCATGTAACAACTTTTAACCCATCTGCGATACATTTCTCAGACTCTCGGGCAAAGTTACCTAGATCTGTATGCATATATCTATGTGTCAGGGAATATTTCAATGCGCGAGCCAATTCTGTATGTTACATCTTTTCTCTATTCAGTGAAACGAGTCAATGTTTAATGCGAATCTTAAGATTTGCTTTAACCTCTTTTTCTTTCTCTCTCTCTCTACATCTTTATCCCTTTTTAAGTCGTTATAATCTGAAACTAATCGATATTAGATTGAAACTTTTAAAAAGTTTTTGTTGGTTATTTTCTTTTCTTTCTTTCCTTTTTTTTCTACTTTCTTCAGACGTTTGACCTGCTAGAAAAAACAAGTCAAGATTCGATGCAACGATGTTTTAAAATCATCATTAAGATAACATTTCGTTATCCTTCTCATTAAACTCCGTCAAGATGAAAATTAAATTAATTCATTTTTCGAAAATAATAAGAAAATTTCCAATTCACAATTTCTTTCATGATTCTTCGTACTGAAATACTTTCTTAAAGTAGAATTAATATGTAATCGGATAATTATCGCAATAACTAATCCTTGAAGTTGCGAAACCAAGACCTTCCTACTACATTGGTGCGTTCATGCGTTTAGGAACATGCACGCATAGTACCAACCGTGAAATGTATTCTGGATTCTGTGGCCACGGATCTGGATTAAATCCCACGTGTTATAGCGTGTATTGGCGAGAAAAGGATAGAGAGAGAGAGAGAGAGAGAGAGAGAAAGAGAGAAGATAGATTTGTTCACTGATAAATCGACCAGACGATTATGTTCCTGTCGTCTCTAACCAACTATCGAATTTTTCATCAAGAAATGTAAACGTCGTTATATCCAAGATACTCGCATCGAAGTTAATTACGTTCGAAATCATTCGAAATATATTTTTTTATTTTTCTTAACATCGTAAGATCCATTTGTGTCGACAAATGATTCATTTCACATGCGAAAGATATTACTATCAATTGTATCGATTTTATCACTACGTAAGATAACGAGATTATTCGATTAAGAATTTAATTATAATTAATGATATCTCATTTTTTCGTTACAGAATAAATAATCATGAAGTTCGAGAAAAGAATTGATTAAAAAAAAAAAAAAAAAAGAAAATAAACAAGTATGGGAGATAACCGGATAGCGATTCACAAAAAAATCATAATTGATTACGGACTCTTAATTCTTTCATACAATTTTATTAACGAAGATCCAATACGAGCTTTACTATGACAAATATCCATGATTATTCGTATAGTAAGGTTAATTTAATGAACAATCGAACGGATATAACGAAGACATAACTTCTGATATCCTCTTAATATTCCTTCTCGTTGTGGATAACATAAAGGGCAGGATATATCGTTTAACCGTCGCAGACTTTGGGGTGATTCTGTTAACCCATCTCAACTACCCACCTCCCCCTTCCCATCTTCCACTCGCATCCTGATCTTCCTGTGGGATTAATTTCGTGGTTTCTCTCGTCGTAACTTCCTGTTCTGTTTCTCTCTGTCCCTTACTCTCTATTGAATTATATGAATTATATTATCGATATATTAAAGACATTTAATTTATTAACATTAACGAATATGTAATAATATAAATTTTTTCTTTTTTTTCTTTTTTTTTTTTTCATAAAACTCTTCTTTTCTTTAATGATTATAGGATTATAGATCGTATGAATATTTTCAATCATGTTTATCTATTATTCATTTATTCATTTCTATATTTTTTCGTCCATATATATATGTATGTGTGTACATATGAATGATACATCCAAATGTACATACATATATGTATGCATATAATAGCAACATTTTCTGGTATATCAAGTCGGACAGTCGTGGATATTCCTTCTCAATGTGAAATTGATGTAATAGAATCGTGTACTTTGAGTTTCCGACTACGCGATAATTATGCACCTTGCCTCTGTTCGAAATAATTAACAGAGCTCAGAAATATCCTCCGCCAGCTGGCCCTTCTGACATATTCGCGATATAACAGAGTTTCTAAAATAATTCGCTCGCTACCTTCGTGTAATTTAATCTTTTTCATTATATTTGATAATTACATAAAAAGTAATTATATCTAATGCGATAGTTCGATTTAATAAAATGAAAATAATATCGCGAGAAAAGGAAACAATAATTTTTACTTTTAAATTGTCTTTTATTATGTCTTGTTAAAAAAAAAAAAAAGGAAAAAAAAGAAAAAAAAGAAAAGAAAAGAAAAGAAAAGAAAAAAATTAAATCCTAAAAATAATAGTTTCAATTTAAATCGATAAATTAAATCCGTTAAGATTTTCTATTCGGTAATAAATATGAAGATTATAAAATATAATATTAATCCAAGTGGAACAAAAAGTCAATTAATAAATAAATATTTGATCGCTAAAAGGATCGATTCAATTACTTTTGCAGGACATCAATGGCTGAAGACGAATCTAGATGTGACCCCGGAATCTGGTTGGTCCGTCGATCCATTCGGTCATGGTGGAACGATTCCTTATTTCCTAAAAGCTTCTGGAGCAACTGGAACGGTAATTCAAAGAATACATTACGCTTGGAAACAATGGTTCGCGAAGAAACAGTACGGTGACTTCATTTGGCTCCAACCATGGGATCAGAGTGGTAATGCCGACATGTTGACGCACAATCAACCCTTCGACATCTACAACATCAAACATTCCTGCGGACCGCATCCACATGTTTGTCTCAACTTCGATTTTCGTAAGATACGAGGCGAATACACCGAATATTCTGTTAGAGCAGTTGAAATCACACCGAACAACGTCAAACAAATGGCCGAATTACTTTTGGAGCAATATTCGAGAACTGGTTCTCTCTTCAATCACAATGTCGTATTGATGCCTCTCGGAGATGATTTCAGGTTAGCTATTATTGGATTTATTCGTAAATAATTATCTTTACAAATTGATAAGTATTAGAATAAAATGGCTATTATTTATGAATCAAATCAATATTTTTTATTCTCATCTAAATCTCGTAACTTTCCAACGACAATTATATATTTACAATAATAGTATGATTGATGTGCAAGTTACATACATACATATATATATATATACACATTCTTCCATCCAGGTACGATCATGCGATCGAATGGGACCAGCAGTATACGAATTACAAAATCCTCATGGATTACATAAACAGTCGCAAGGAAGAATACAACGCCGAGGTAATCTTTGGTACCCCGAAGGATTACTTTCAAGAAATTCAAAAACGCGTAGAAAAATTTCCCAGCTTGAAGGGAGATTTCTTCGTCTATTCGGATATTTTCAGCGAGGGTAGACCAGCTTATTGGAGCGGTTATTTTACAACAAGACCATACATGAAGATTCTCGATCGAGAATTGGAAGCTAATTTGAGATCAGCCGAGATACTTTATACCATCGCTTTGAACGTAGCGAAACAATCGAAAAAGGACATAAAACTTTACGAGACGTATTTCGAGAAACTTGTGAAGGCCAGAAGAAATCTTGGATTATTTCAACATCACGACGCTATCACGGGAACTTCGAAATCATTTGTAATGAAGGATTACGCGTTGAAACTCTTTGAATCAATCTCCGACACTACCAGCCTGCAGAGTTTCGCGATTCAATCGTTAGCCGCTACAACTAACAAACCAAACTCTGTCTACGTCCTGGCGGAATCTGATAGAGACAGCTATGAAAAACTCCCAAAGAAGATACCCATCAATATGAATGGCCAAGAGACACGAAAGATCGTTCTATTCAATCCTCTTGCTCAACCAAGACAAGAGGTGATCAGTCTAAAGGTTACCTCGTACAAGGTACGAGTGTTGGATCCACAAAAGAACCCGATACCTTATCAGATAGCACCGGTGATGAACGCTACGAGCATTACGCACGACGTTTACGTTCTCCTCTTCGTGGCTGAATTGAAACCGCTTGCGATAGCAACCTACCATCTGCAACAAGTGGACAAGGTCCCTATGGACGCAATATCTACGATCTATTGCAGTAGATGCGGTAAGGACAATGTTTTCACGATAAAACCAATGCAGATTGGGGACGTACAATTGGAGAATCATAGAATGAAATTGCTCTTCGATGGTCAAACCGGTTTTTTGAAACGTGTTGCAAAAAAATCGACCGGTAAGATAATGCAATGTGCCGTACAGTTTGCTGCTTATCCATCTGCACAATTCCACAGTGGTGCTTACCTATTCATGCCGGATCCGAATCTACGTGATACGGACAAGGACGTATTGGAGGCTTATACGCCTCATCAAAAGATTTATATCGTCAGTGGCAGTCTAAGTTCACGTTTGACGGTCGAATATGGTAAATTATTGACTCATCATGTAGCGATATATCACAGAGATGGTGGCTTGGGCGAAGCAATATATCTCAGAAACATCGTCGATTTTGAGACACCACCGAAGAATCGTGAAACCGAGATGTTTATGAGACTTCAAACTGATATAATGAACGGTGAACCACCTGAGATCTATACCGATCTGAATGGGCATCAAATGATAAAGAGAAGGAAAATAGAAAGAATTGGTATAGAGGGTAATTATTACCCTATAACGACGATGGCTTACATCGAGGACACCAATCACAGATTGACTCTATTGGTTAACCATTGTCAAGGTGCAGCCAGTTATCAGCCAGGATGGCTCGAGGTTATGCTGGATAGAAGGACACTCTATGATGACTCTAGAGGGATGGGCGAGGGCCTTTTGGACAATAGAAGAACTGTAATAAAGCATTGGTTGTTACTCGAGGATGTTGTGGGTGCTAGGGATAAGTACTCGAAGCCATCTCTATTTGCCAATCATCTTAGCAATGCCTTGAACTATCCTGTAAATATCTTCGTAGTCGATGGTACCGAATCAGAGATCGTCATGACGCCAGAAGTTAGGCTTCTTAGCCAGAGTTTCCCTTGTGATCTTCACTTACTCAACTTGAGGACAAATCATGATCAAAAACTACCACATTTTCCAGTTAATAACGCTCTTATGGTTTTGCATAGACAAGGTTACAGCTGTTCGGTTGGCGCTGACATAACCCTAAAACATTGTCCTTTGAGCGAACGATTATCGCAAAGCACGACGTTCTTCAAGTTGTCTAAATTGAATGTCACGAAAACGTCTCTGACAGGTACAAAAACAAAACGTCATTTGACGGACGGTCTTCAAGAAATTGGATTGGAGCCAATGGAGGTTGAAACGTTCAATGTTAATTTCCTTCAATGATCTTAAGCCTCCCTCTCGGTTCAATATATGAAAATGGTCATAAAATATTTTGTTAGAACCGAGGAAGGACTATAAAGAATTGGTCTCTTGTTTTTTTTTTTTTTTTTTCTTATTTCTTTTTTTCAAAGAGAACACTGCCGATCATTCGTTACTGGCTAATATCATTCGTCTAATCGACGAAAATTTTTGTAAATATAACCTTATTACGCACCAAATATTCGTCATTTGCGAATTAAAAACGTGCGCCTTAATGAATACGATCAATCGAACGTTGTTTTCCGATCGATCTAATACATTTTCGGATAGAAATAAAATATTCATATATTATTCGAGAATCAACACCGATTATGTTTCTTCCGCAAATGTACGTTGATCGATTTAGCGATTGTTCAAATTTATTCAAACGGGAGATCGTTTGTTGAAAATGGATTTAATGTTTTCGATATTATAAACGCGAAAATCAATATCAAATTTAATGATAACGAATTTAACAACACCTTTTCGATACACCTTCAAAACTTTTACATTGTACTTATAGATTTTTAATTTTTATTTAAAAAAAAAAAAAAAAAAGGAGAAGAAAAAAGAAAATTGGGTCGGTCTATTGTCGCTCGAAGATATAAAGAACTCTACCTTATCGATAAATCTAAAAAGATACGGATAATAGCATAAAATTCGAAGGAACATTTTCAAACGATTGACAATATTTATTTATTTTATCTTGCATTTTCATTGCCGAAGAGAACATGGATGATCCTGAGTAAAAAAAAGAAGAAAAAAAAAAGAAAAGAAAAAAAAGTAAAGAGAGAAAGGGGAAGTGGCGAGAAGAGAAAGTATACTGACTTTAAATATGACGTATACGTTTTCGACGAGTTTCTTTAACTTTTTATCGAAGTCAATACATAAGATTCTCATCAATCGTAAAATTGGGAATGTCGATAAATACGAAAAAGAATCGTCGGGAAACGAAAAATATAGAGACATTGTACATATCAAGCCATAAACTTTACCGTAGATCGTATATTACGATAAGAAAATAATGTAAATGATATGCACCTATTTTCTTATGCCAAACGTTTTATCGCCAACTCTGTCCCTTTCTCTCTATTGTGCTCGCGTGCGGTTTTTTGTTCTCTCTCTCTCTCTCTCTCTCTCTCTCTCTTTTTCTCTATCTATCTCTCGTCGAAAAAATAATCTCTTGACTATGTCGAATCGAATGTTCTTCCGAAAAATATAGTATGTACATATGTATATACAAACATACATATGTACGTACTTCTTTCAAATGTGATACATGTTATTTCTCGATTTTTTAGTTCATTGATATTTCGACAAAAAAAAAAACCTCCGAAAAATTCGAAACCAAAATTTGATTTTTGGCAAAAAAGAAAAAAAATATCTATATATATATATATACACATATTTGAATGATCTCCATATATATGTATATATCTGTAGATCATTCAAATTTTACATAGAAAAAGAATTTCTAATTGGAATGTACTCAATTAGAGCGTTTTGAAATTCTTCCAATGTTAAACCTCAAAATGAATTCAATTGAATTCAATGAAGCGATCAAGTGGATATGACGTTACTTTTATATATATGTATATTATTTTGTTTTTTTTTTTATTTTTTATTTTTTGAAAAGATATAAACGAAAAATCGAACGTAGCCGACGTTCACCGATCAGACGACGAAGCTCATGTAAATATTAGAATAATTAACAATAACGTCGTACATTCCTGGTGAATTTAATGTCGAGCTAATTGAAATCGAAATTGAAATTACCAATTGTAACGAATATCTTTCTATTACTTTTATATATATTTAAAAATGATTTAAAAGATATTTTTAATGATTTTATTCCTTTTTCTTTGTATTCATTACAACGTCATTAAGCAAAGATCAACTTCGCGAACGTCTTCGACAAGTGCTTTTAAGTACAATCCGAATAGCAAAGAAATAAATATTCAAATCTCGATGAAATTTCTTCCACTTTACGGTGCGATATGTTGAACTTAAAAGAAAAAAAAAAAAGAAAAATGCAGTGTTCTTATCCAGAGGTTCAGCTTTTTATGAGATGCACTCGCAACACGGGTTTAAACGATGCGAGCCAATGCAAAAATGCGTTTATACGTTATATATATATATATATATATATATATATATATATATATATATAATGTATATGTAAATAGACAAGTATTGTCGACAAAATCGTTAAGTTACTTAGAACGTAACGAAAATCATGAAAGGAATTTACGATGGTATTTACAATGGCACGATCGCAAGGCAGAATTCGCTTTTGCTAAAAAATTCCATTCCTTCGAAGGATCGGCTCTGATAAAAATTGTATTAAAATTATGATGTAAATGTTACTCCGTTCTTTGTTCCGATTATTTTCCAAAGTCGATCTTGCCAGTGTTATTTTTTCCCTTCGCTCAAGTAAATAGAAAAAAAAAAAACAAATCAGAAAAAAAATAAAAATCGAAAGAAATCTGTTTTATCAACGGAGAGACACTATAGGAACAAAATAATTGAATTTTTCACATCGAGCTGTAAACTCGACGTGGACTTCGCATATATTTGCTCGGATTAATCGAGCATTCGAAATTGCGATATCCGCAATGAATGATTCTCGATAATTTTGCGATTAGAGTATCCTCTTTTCGGAGGTAATCCCGGGAGGGCTGATGGAGGGATCAACGACGATTGGTCTTACCCATTGTAACGATATTGTAAGATAATCTGTGTTTGTGCTGTCTCTAGAGAAAAAGAATTCTATATGAAAACAAAGAAAAAGTATATATATATATATATATATATATATATATATATGTATATATATATATATATATATATACGTATATACATAAATGAATATACAAAAATATAAATATATAAATATATATATATATATATATACATATATGTATATATAAATAAATAAATATATATATATATGTATATATATATATATATATATTCGCCGTCGCTCAAGAACATAATTTGCATACTTACTGCGTAACTATTTCGATAAGCGACGACGACGATTAATAAATAACGAAAACAAAAAAAAGAAAAAAGAAAAAAAAATACGCGATATTCCTTATGTTACGATGTAATATTATATTTATTAAATAAAGATAGTAAGCGATGTATTTTAATTAATCGCGTGGTATGCTGCTAACCCAGTGTATAAATTCCAAATTACTTAGACGAAATTGAAATGAGAATTAGCGAAAGATGGGGAAAAAAAAAAGAAAAATAAAAAAAAAAAACAAGTAACATTCGCGTTTGCCAGAGAGATGGAAAGAAAAAGTGTAGATACGTACATATATGTGGATAAAAAAAAAGAAGAGTGAAAAAGGCTCATTTTATAAGAACACGAGAACTCTTTCTCGATTGAGCCGAGATTCTCATTGGCGTCGCGGTCATTATTAAAATTTGATGGACTCGTAGCACGCAGTACAGGAATATATTAGAAATTCTATGTGATCGTATGGACATTCCGTTCGACGACAACGACGAAGACGAGGACGACGATAATCCACGATGAAAATGAATGAGAATCACGCAAGGACACGAAGATAAAAAGGGGTGAAACCAAGTAATGAAAAGTACTCGAACATAATAAGTAAGTCTAATCATACGTTTTACTTTCCTACTTCTTTCATTTTTCTCCTTTTTTGCTTTCTTTTCTTTTCTTTTCTTTTTTCTTTTTTCCTCTTTATTTTTTAATAAACCTCGCTCACTAGCTTTGACAAGAGAAAGATGAAATTAGCGAAAAGTGTCGATCGTTTAAGATCAACTCGGTAGATAAATAGGAAAAGTGAATATAGTATAAAGAATTATTTCTCGGTAACACGACATCGAGAAAGGAAAGATTTAAAGAAATTGATTTATTTATTTTTTATCTTTCGATTATACGAAGATAGTATTGACTTACCACCTATTAAATATGAAAAGAATTTTTCAAAGGAAAAAGACTCATATTTTTTAACAAAATAATAATAACATAAAGAAAAGAGAAAAAAAAAAGAAAATAAGAAATTTCTATATTAAAACGTGGAATCTTAATGATGATTTTGGGCCATCATAAAAAAAAAAAAGAACTGCCTGAAACAATTCTAATTAGAAAGAACGAGATCGATTAAAAGAAGATGAACAATAATAAAAAATAGAAATTTGTTATTTTTGCATTATAAAGAAAAAAAAAAAAAAAAAAAAAAAAAAAAAGAAAAGAAAGAAACGTTGAAATACACCTAATCGTAGTATTAAGAAGGTCTCGGTCTTGTATTCTACCTCGTATTTCGAGGTTTATAAGTACTAATCGATATCATTCCTTGACATAATTCTCATTAATGCTACGGGCATCCTCTTCGTGCCGATAAACGCTTCCGGCGATATCGACTCCCATTGTGTACGTAATTGAATTTGGAATAAGCCGAGTCGATTTTAGCTTCGTCATTGTATACTCGAAGCGAGAAAAGAGGACGGAAGAGTGAAGTAAAACTCTACGAACGAGGTTAAACGCTCTATCGACCACCTTCCTCTCTCTCTCTCTCTCGTTTTTTCTCGATTCGAGGCCAATTTACATTTTCTTTCCGACGAAAGCTAGCTCGACAAAGTGCATCGAAGCCTAATAACTGGGAAATCGTGTGGTCTTTTTAAAAAGAGCCACCCTCAACCGAGTTCTCTTTCTTATCGAGAAAATGCGAGACAAAAGAGAATGTCAGTAGGGTGAGTTAGAAGGAGAGAAAGACTTCACCGTCAAGAGGTGAGAAAGAAAAACGTCAGAAATGAAGTAATATAAATGCTATATATTCTTTTTTTTCTTTTCTCTTCTTTTTCTTTTTCTTTTTATTGTTTTTTAATTCTTTTTTTATAGTTTTTCTAAGAATTCGTTACTCGATAAAGTCTTATTTTAAGTTTTCTTCTTTAAGTCTGTCAAGCGATCGTTCAAAAAATTTTTTTGTTATAGCTATCGACTCATGCTTAAAACGTTCCTGACAAATAAATAATCCTATATTCATTAAAGTAAATCGTTGAATAAAACAAAGTGAATTCGATAATTGATACTGGAGAGATACAGAGTTTATGTGATTTATACATATATATACACACACACACATACGTATATATACATATATATACATATATATATATATGTGTATATATATATATAGAATATATATAGTGTCTCGAAATTGGTAGTACAAGTAGGAAGAAAATGATTCTACATAAAAAAAAAAATAAGTTAGAAATGTAGAATTGAATTTAGAATATTGAATGTTGAATGAAGCAAAATATAGAAAAGTAAAACATTTTTGTTCTTTTTATAAGAGGCTTCGTTTTCGAAACAATCGAATTTCGAAATAAGATATAGCTCACCGAGCGACGTATAACGTTATCTTCGTAATAAATCAATGAAAACTAACATATCAGACAAAATTGTAGAGCATTGTTTACAAACACGAATTATTTACAAGCACAATAGACAATTATATGTATTTAAGTCGCTCTATCAACCATATCATATTGTTAGCCGTAATTGCAAAATATAAAATGTTATTTTATATTTTCAACCTAATTTATGGAATCATCTTCATTCAACTGGTATTATCAATTTCTAGAAGACACCCTGTATATATCTGCCCAACGAATTTCTCGTCGGCAAGTGAATCACATTTGTTAATTAATGAACTGCGAGGACAATCCTGGGTTTGGTCAATATTTACGAAACGAAGGAAGATAGAAATTACTCACGATTGTAATGTCGAATGAACGAACGAACGATGTGAAACTCGCTGGGTGTTTGAAACTTCGTTCTCGCAATAAAAAGGAAATCGAATCCAGTGTAATTAAAAGTTAGATAACGAAGACATTCCTCGAGTAAGCGAAGTTTATTCGTTAATTTGACGAGTGTCATCGTTCTCTTCGTCGTCATCTTTGTCGTTGTCGTTATTCTCCTCTTTGTCGTCGTCATCGTCCACTTCGAACGATCTTGTTCGTTCATTTCTCGTACATAGCAAACGATAAAAACATTTAAATGCAAATATTGGATCGAAATAAAAACAGACAATGGTTAAAATAAATTAACGGAGAGGAAGAGAGGAAAAGAGATAGAGAAAAACAAAATCACAATAAAACTTAAAGCCTTTTATCCTTCGAGACTTTAACAGCATAATCCTACTTTTGTCCTGCTCGTAGGATTTAAAAAAAAAAAAAGAAAAAAAAAAGAAAAGAAAAAAGATGGCGATACGATTTACGAAGCCAATTAGGCGATCCTTTGGGATGAAACTGCATATAATAAAACTGCAGCAACTTTTTATTACTTTTCAGCCGGATTAAGACAAAAAATGGCCTTCGAGAAAGGGCCGTATAACGAATTGAAAGTTGTTACGAAGTTTCAAACGAAGTTTCATTCGAATTCTCTTTGAAGTACATTGATCGTTATTATTCTTCTCTCCTTTTTATTCTAGTCGGACAAAGATACTGCATAAGGAATTATATTTATTCTAAGAAATTTATTTCTCGGCTATTTTAAATGAAGAGAGCCTTTCTAAATATCGTTATGATTACATCAAGAAGTAACTGTTACATTTATTGTCTCTTTTACATATTGAATTAAAAATCTTCGAAAAAGTGTCAAGGAAATGACTTTACCGATAAACGATATCAGTATCTTTTTACTTTAAAGCAATTAAATAGAATTATAACGATTTCTATTTATCGGGAATTATCGAAGAAAAAAAAAAGAAAAAAAAAACCAAGAAGGAGAGAAGTAGAAAGAAAAAAAAGATAATCTTATTTCGTCGTAGATATAGAATGAAAGTTTCCTTTCATATTCATTTTACGACATACGCTTGGATTTTATCGATTACGATAGAACAAAGATGTCATCGAGTCTCACTCATTTATTTTTCAAGTTGATAGGTAAGTACTAATTTATTTATGAAAATCCAAGATATTCCGTACACTTAATCAATAGACACTGAAACCTAACCTCAATATCATATCA